CCCCCTTTTTCCTTTTCTTCTCCAAGGGGGCAGGAGAGGAGATGTAATAATAATAACAATACCATATGTACGTGCGTGCGGAAGAACCTTAATAAGGGATCACATCACATGCACGCGCTGCGGCTGCGCTCGCTCGCTCGCTCGCTCGCTCGCTTGCAGAGCGGGTTCGCAGATGCACGACATCGCACGCACGCACGCACGCACGCTCCGCGACGGGCCGCTGCATCCGTCCGCCGTGGCGGCGGCGGCGGAGGCGCTCGGGTGAGATGAGAACGAGCGGGCCACCATACTCACACGTATGTGCCAAGTCCAGCTGAATGTGGGAGGAAAAGAGAGTGCGCGCGTGCGTGTGCGTGTGATGAGGTTTGAGCAAGGGGGGCTGAGATGGTGCCTTTCCTACCTATGAGGCAATCCATCTATACAGTCAAGCCATGCGGTGCCTTCCGCGCAGCGAGGTTCGCCAGCGAGGGCGCGGCGATAGATTGGGTCATCATGTTGTTTTGCTGTGCTGCTGCTACCATAGCCAACCGCTCCGATGCAGTTCCACGCGACAAATGCGCCTTGTTCTAATCTCACAACTTTTCCCGTCGCCAAGCCCCCTCGCCCGCCGCGTCCGCTCACGCTCACGCTCACGCTGACGCTGACGCTCACCAGTACGCCGGCCGCAGCCCCGTAAAGTTGGCCAGCGCCTGCGACGCCGCGTCGCCCTCCGTCTCCTTCTTCCGCTGTCCGCTCAGCTGTGAGGGTCGTCAGTTTCTGCGCGGCTGTCTGCGTGACTCGCAAGGATGGGCCGGTACTCACCTCGAGCTGCACGCCCTTGTGCACGTGCACCAGCCAGTCGACGTAGCTCTGCGCCTCGTTGTTGCGGTCCTCGACCAGCATCCGCGCAAACTCGTACTCGGCGCCGTCGATGCCCCTCCGCGCCAGCTGGATCGTGAGGCCCTTGGACCCCCGCATCGTCTTGAGGAACTCGATGATGTTGCGCACCTGGCAGTTGAGGTGCGTCTCCAGCACGGGCAGCGACGACGTGTACGCGTCGAGGCTCTTGAGCGAGTCCTTGCCCTCGCCAAACAGATCCGACACGAGGTTCGGCGACGTCTGCTCGTGGAACCACAGCAGGCACTGCTGCCCGTTGTCCACCAGGTACACGCCGCCCGGCTCCACGCGGCTGAACGACGCCCGGATCGCCGGCGGCATCTTGAGGTGGCCCGTCTCGGCGTCCGCGAAGCCGTCCTCGGGCTGCAGGTTGTGGATCGGGAAGATTCGCGGGTACAGGTAGAGGCTCAGCTCCAGCGCGCCCATCGACCGCACCATGCGCATCTCGTGCACGCGCCTGTCCGAGTTCTCGACGCCGCCCTTGAACGCCCGGCTCTTGATGAGGCCCAGCACGTACATGCAAAACTCCTTGAGCCGCTCCGGCATCACCAGCTGCCCGGGCGGGTGCTGCTGCGCAGAGTGCTTGCGATAGCACGCCATGATGTCGATGGCCCGCTCGCTCAGCCAGTTGCGCACGTCCTTGAGGTTGCTCGACGTCGTGGCGAGCTTCGTGCTGGCCTCCTTGGCCAAGATGCCCACCACGGCGTCCTGATCCACAAACTTCATGCAGCCCCGGATGCTCTTCTCCCGCACCCCCGCCTCCTTGGCCGTCTCGCTGACGCTGGCAATCACGTTGGAGCACCGCACGCGTCGCTGGCCCGATGCCGTCGTGTAGAGAAGCGCCGACTGGAAGTGCGCGTCCAGCTTCGAGTCGAGCTTTCCGTCGTAGCTAAACGACACGCCCAGCGCCTTGTCCGCGTCGATGGCGCCAATCTCGAGATCCGCGCCAAACGTGTGCTGCACAAAGTTGCCGTGGTACGCCGCCACCTGCAGCCCGTTGGAGCAGCGCACCTTCATCAGCGCTTGGAAGCCCGTCTCGCGTGTCACGGTGTGCGAGATCTCCGCGGACAGCTTGGGGCCGTCACGCGGCGCGATGAAGTTGGGGTAGTAGAACGTCTCGCCTCCCGTAGTCGCCGCGACATGCCCTGCTCGGGTCAGCAAGGTCAGCCCATCAAGTTTGCGCGGGGTCTTTCTTACCAATCGTCGCAATGTCCAGATAGCCTCCTGACGGCGCAGCGAGGAAGAAGTCGGCGCCCACGCCGGACGCAGCCATCTTCTCCGCAACCTTCTTCCAGCCCGGGTGCTCCGTCGTGTACAGCTTCTTGTCCATCTCACCGCCAGGATGGTTGCCGTCGTCGCGCATGAAGAGGCGGCCCGGGCCCCAGGTCGGCAGCGCAGAGCAAGAGCACACGATCTTGCCGCCCGTCTTCTCGAGCGCCGCGAACGCCGAGTTGAGCGTTGCCAGCAGTGCCGGCTCGGGGTTCTTGACGGTGGAGAACATGTCGGGCAAGCGCGTGAGCAGCGAGCTGATGAGGGCCTTGCACTCGTACGGGTCGACAAAGAGGCCCTCGCCGAGCGGCAAGAAGGGGTCCTCGAGGTCAGGCATGATTAGCATCTGCGCTTGGTCCAGACGAGGCTGCGATTGTTAGCCAGTTATGGTCAAGGCGGGCCATGGTCACACTCACGTTGAGGTTGTAGAAGTGAATGTCCTTGTCGTATGTGATGAAGCCGACCTTGGCGCCTTCAGGTATCCTCCGCTTGGGCTCGCCGTTGTCGTCCTTTTCTTGGTCCTCGCCGCCGTACAGCGCCGCCAGAATGCCGTCGCAAAACGTTTCCATGAAGCCCTTGTTATACGACTCCTGCGTCGCATCAATGACAAACAGCCACCGCAGCCCTACGGGCTCCCGAGTCCAGTACTCCTTGGGCACGACAAACTCCACCGTGCCGCGATGCAGCTCCGGTCGCTGGTCGCGGTCCAACCGCACGCCCTGCGGGCTTGTGGCGCAAAAGTACTCTGGCGGCGTGTCGTTGGGGTGCGTGCACAGGTTGCAGACGAACTTGTTGCCGCCGGATCGGAACATCATGAAGGGGTTGATGTACGCCCGACACCGCCGGCATCGCGGCGGGCCAGAGTCCCCAAAGTCCAGCACAGGAATCTCCGCCTCGCCCGCCTGCAGCGGGGCCAGGGGCTGCAGCATCAGACCCAGGGGCAGGCCGGTCGCGTGCAGGCCGTCGGCTGTGGCAGGGATGTTGTTCATGGTGAGGCGGGCGTATTTCGGCGAAGCGTTGCCCTGGTCGAACGCAACAAAGGAGACCGTCGCCGGAGGAGGGACGTGGCGTTCGAATGTGGGATATACGTTCTTGAGGAAGTGCTCCTGGACGGCGTCACGCGACAGGGGCACACTGGGCATGTCGTCGGGTGAGATCTTGGACTGGCCAGTCGGCGCAATCGTAGCCGCAGCATCGGCCGAGCCGTTGCCCGCGCCGAAGCCTCCGGGGCCCGGCGGGCTGAACTGGGCGCCGGCCGGCACGGGGAACTGGTTCGGGCTCATGGTCTGCGGCGTGCCCTGCGGCGAGCCAAACTGGCCACCGAAGCCGGGCCCCGCGGGTGCAGCGGCGGTCGGGATGAACTGATTCGCCGCCGAACCTGGAGGAGGCATGCCATTGAAGGCCTGGGACGAGCCGGTGGGCTCGACCGTGTGGTATGCGTGGCGGTCCTTCTTCTTCTTGCGGATTGTGCTGTGGCCGTCGCCGAGGTTCATGCCACCCATCTGCGCGGCCAACGCATCATCGCCAGGCTGAGGGATACCAGGCTGGAAACCCTGGCCTTGGGGCGCACCATATCCGCCAACGGGGGGGGACTGCGGCTGGCCGGCGTAGGGCGGCGCACCGTAGCCTGCTGGCGGTGGCTGTTGCTGCTGCTGCTGCTGCTGGTACGGCGCCTGGCCGGGTGCGGCATAGGGATTATTTCGGTTCGGATCGTTGGGGTCGTTTCCCATGCCCTGGCCGAGGGCATGGTACTGCGTGTAGTCGGCCATGGCGGAGCAGGCTCGGTCGGGGCGATGGAGGATGTGATGTCGGATTCTCGAGCATGTGGGAAAGGGGCGGGTGAGGGGTGGTGTCGAGATCGCCGGCGGCGCGGGACAACGTGCCGGAGGGCGAAGCCGTGCGTGAGAAAGCTAAAGTCGAATCAGGGCCAGGGCAAACAACGCTTCCATGCTGCAGCGGCCGCCGTCAAAGCAAACGCGGATGGGAGACTAGCAGCGGCTCAAAGGAGCTGTGCTGGCGATGATGGATTGGGGCGTCGTCGGGTGGTGGGATTGGCAGTCGTGCCTCGCTGGCCTTTTTTGCCCGGCGGCGTGCGTGCCTGGGCTGGCTGCGTCGCGCTGCGCTGCACTGGGCGGGTTCTGGCCGCAACAAGGTTCCAGTTCCATGCTCGGAGACGTGTTCCTGGTTGCTCATTGGGCAGGGGTCCTGCGCAGCAGCTCGGCTCGGGTGCTGGCGCGCGATCGTCTCCACTTATTATCCACTGAAGCAGAAGCAGAAGCGGTGCAGCCGGGCGGATCTTGCTGGCTGTGGGCGAGCAGCGTGGAAGCTCACAAAGGCGCATCACGTGAACAGTCACATGCCGCGTGTGGATCTGACGTTGCCCCACTTTGGACGGCTCCTCGTCCGTGTAAGTCGGCGGCTGCTGGCACGATGATGCTGCAGGCCGTGAACGCTCGCGTCATGGATACGCTCCGAAGAGGTGTAATGAGAGCATTGATCTTGAGGAATAGCAGTTCTCTCACGCCAGTCAATATTTTTACGACGCACCCTCGCAGCCTCATCGTTTGTGTCCTGGCATGTCGCAGGGCTGACGCACGGGTCGGTGGATGTGGCAGGCTCGGAACACCCCATGGCATCCGGCCAACCTGCATATTGGCGCCGCAGAGACAGGCAGACGAGCAGCCGGGTCAGTGAATAGGAATAATACACTGTGTTTCATGGGACAAACTCGAGGTCGGTTGGTACAGTACGCATGTCATCTCGCACACCTCCTATCCGTTCTCTACCGTGGGCTGGGTCGTTGTGGGTTGGCCCAACTGTCACGCTGGCAGGTTGGTGGTATTGCAAGATGGCCACAAAAGCCGCCAATATGGACGGAAACGAGACAAAGGAGGGTCCGCAAATCATCAGTTCAACTTGCAAAGTGTCAAAAAACCACATCGCATGGGGATTGATGCGTCTGTGTACTGTACGGACGTGCGACGCCGTACCGTCCTGGTACCAGGTAGGCTACTGGGACGGATGTGCGCAAAACTGAAGAGCCGCGTCGCACAAACCGCATGGAGCAACTCGGCTCAACCGATTTATTTCTCTCTAGACAGAGTGCACACCAGCCTCGATACTGCACATTTGTGCCGTGCCCCAGACCGATCCCTGGGGTAACGATGCCTGTCTGCCGCTGGTTGCGTACGCGCGGCCGGTCGCGCGCGGCACGACGCGCCGGTCGCTCTACGCCAGGCGCCAGAATCGCCTCATCTTTCTTCATCAAAACAGCGGGCAATTAGCAGAAGCACGCGTCTGGTCACCGCAAGTGCACAATCCGCGTGTCCGAGGACACAGGGCGCATTCAAGTCGGCGGTCGCATCACCTCGCGCTCGTCCGACCGTCCAAATCGACGCATTGCTTTGCGTCGCGCCAGCGCACCACCAGCACCGGCAAAGTCGTAAAAAAATCGGCCAAAGTGTGCCCTCAATTGATGGCCATCGGATACGGACCCCAAAACGAGATTTCTACATCGATGTGGTGGCTGGTTGGCGCAAACAGTCGGCGAGGTGAGCTGGCGTGGATAGCTTCAGGTTGCGTCGGACGTCGCGCGGGGCCGCATCGCCTCGAGTGACTCGCGACACGCACGCCAGCAACAGCTCCCGAACAAGCTACGACCGGAAAGAAAGTGGCATCAGCGTCTAGCCGCCGGCTTGCTCAACCACCAGCAAGATACAGATGCACATCGCGACAGCGTGGGCGGCGACAATTCAGAATGCGACAACGGGCGACACTCCCATGCACATGCCGTCTCAGGAGCGACTGGGTGTGGGACATGGCTGGATATCCCATCTCGGGACGCGCGCATCACACGGACGGGCTGGGGCAAAACTCTACGGACACGACATGGCCAGATGCAGGAAAAAAATGACTCACCGAAACTCGAAAAGGAGGGTCGGCCAAGCGTCGAGTCGAGGCGAGCAGGACAGAGAAAGACGAGAAGGCGAGGACAGCGTCCGGGTCGAAGGAGGTGGGCGGTCGAACCTCAACCCATCCAGATCAGAAGTGGGAGGGCGAGCGAGGGGACTTGGGGGGACCTCGTCGGG